GCGGAGTTGGGGGGGTGCGTGCGGTACACTGGTTTGGGGGGATGGGGGATGTTGTTGGCGGTTGGCGGGGCCTGACAGTTGATCTACGAGATACACTGTAGAACAATTTTTGCACTAGGCGCAAGAAACACAGTCTGTTTTTGTAGCTTCCCCGGTCACTACGGGTGGCGGTCTCATTTCTGGGGGGCTGGGTGGGCTAGCAGCAGAAGCCCATAGGTAAGAATCACCCCCAATATGTGTTTAATATGGTAGGACAACCAAACTTGGTTTGTTCTGATCCTCGTGACCGGAAGTTGCCACAATTCCGGTTCTGTGAGCCATTCCGTGTTTTTGTGCAAGCTTTGTTTTTTGGCGGCTCCCGGAGGGACTGTGGCCGGAACCGGGCGAATCTGAGCCGGGAAGGGGAGGCCCTGTGGCAGTGAGAGCCAGCCAGAGATATCCTGTTCCGCAAGGTTTTGTGATAAGTGCAATTGACTGGCTATCGTTTGCAGGTCTGGTCGCCCCTTCCATCCCACCAAGGAAACCCCTGTGGGAAGTTTTTGGTACTGAGGTTGGATCTTTTCAAGGCCTAGGAGGGTGTGGCCAGAGGAGGGATTATGTGTAGATAATATGAGAAAGGTGGTGTGTTCAAGATTGGACAGATTTCATTCTTCGTTCCTGTCCAACCAGTCTTTCATCCTTCTCCTGGCACCCATTTCCCCTCCCATCTTCCCCCCTTGTGTGTACTCATGTGGTTTGTGTCGTTGATGGTTTGGTACGGTGTCCTCAGCCCCGGCTTCGGGCCTGTGCTGCCCCGGGCGGTCATCCTCCCCCCCTTCATCCTCCGAGGATGAGAGAGGTCAATAAGTTGCTTGCCCTCCTGTCGATCCCCTGTTGTGTCGCTGACTGTTTTCCCCATGGTGGCCAGAGATGAGATGGCAGGTGGGTGTACTATGGGGATCCTCGTCAGCAGGTGCTTCGGGGGAGGGTGTCGTGCTTGCGCTGCATAGTCCAGTCTGTAGGTCAGAGGGCCAGGCGTGTGTTCAGGTACGAGCTCCGTTATTCGTACCCCCTGGTGTTGTCCGCAGTCCTCCGAGGCAGGGGGTCGGGGCAGGGTACGCTGGTCTCGGCATTGTGGTTGAATCTTAAAAGGACTGCTTTTGATGACTTTGTCAACCACTGCTTTCGCCAGCGTGATAATGTAAGGCCAGTCTATGTCCGCTGCTTCCTGGAAAGCGTCCACAGTTTCGACCGTAGGAGGGCAAGTGGCCACCATGTCTGCAATGACGTCCCAGTAGTGTGGCCAGAATGCTTCTGGCACCTGTATCTTGGCCTGGGTATATACCCTTTTTTTTTCCGCTCAATCTATCTATATTTTTTCGCTCAAACTACTCTATATTCGTCGCTCAATCTATCTATATAGTATATACTCATCTTTATCATCTATCTCAATCTCTTGCTAGTCTATGTATGTATACTACATTGTATAGTACAGGGAACACCAACGAACCTGGATTTCTTCCCGGCCCACGGGGTAGGTTTGCACCACAGCAGTGGTGCGAGAGCAAGGCTGTCATTCGCGTGGTGCTAGGTTTGGGAAACTGTGCTGTGCGCTGAGGAAGAGACATGGCCGATGAGGAAGAAGGTGGCCATAGCCAGAGGCAATTGTACTCTGTTTCGTTGCTGATCCGGTTTCTTCGTAGTAAGGAGGCGCCATTCATCAGGGCGCTTGATAATAGTTCTTGCGGGGCGGACAGTGAGGAAACAATGAGGAGCTGTACTTAGATGTTCAGGGCGAGATCCTTGTTGCGAGAGAGAAGTAGACATGTTTGTTATCCATTGAGTTTGTATCATAGGAAGACTGTGTTGCATTCTGTTATGCATCCTTCGTAGCAGAGAGTGCCAGGGTTTTCAGAGTGGGCTGCGTTCTGACTTCCATTGCATACTTTGTGTTTGATCTGTCGTCTCGGATCTCCAAGTGTTTGAGGCTTTGAGCTGATCCACTATAGCTGCATCATCTATACCCCCATGTGTGCATCATCTATACTCCCATGTGTGTGTGTGGCCACGGTAATCTCCACGATCATAACTCTGAAATTGTGTTGAAAACGGCAAACTTGATTTCATGTGTTTCATGTGACGTCCATAGCTGCACACACGTATGGACATGGATGATGCATGAGTGACAGTCTCCTTGCAATTGGGTCTGATGACACAGATCCAATTATTTGG